AGGATCAATGAAATGCTGTAAGTTTTCTGTGATAAATTCACATTTCGGAATAAGAAAATTTGTTTTTTGTAAAACATGAGTCGGTTTTCATTTGCTTCGGATATTGTTTATATTGTTAAATTGTATTTGTACTCAGAAGCCATGCACTCCTGATAATTCCTAGAACATCTCTGGTATGCTGCCTCTGAAACCTTCTTTAGTTGGTTGTTCACAAGGGGTTTAACGGTTTTTGTATTTGTCCCTAAGCGTCACGATTCAGACGTCACGGTTTAGACATAAGATTATGTCTCAGCAGAATAGAAGTTCATCACACATGGCAGTATCTACACCCCAATCCAGAGGTGCTCCTAACTGTATGCTAACTTCTATTAAACAACAGACAAAGAAGAAGCAGACACAACAAAGAAGAGTAATAAACGATACAAAGATGCCACGGCAGGAGTGAGGAACATGCTAATAAATATTAGATGGCATCACCCAGATGTGCCGAGGCAAAATAAATCAGTTCATTTAAGACAAATGAGACCTGCAGTTTGGAGTAGGGAACTGTGTAAAGTATCTACAATGACACAGCCTGCTGGTTTGTGAATCACAAGTCAGCTGCTAATTGAGAGGGATGTCCCTCAGTGGATGGATTGCTGCTCGCTACACTTTGGCTGATGCTTGCTCTTCTTGCACACCATGCTGACCCCTAAAATATCATCCTAGTTCTTGCTGAGTGAATGCCCCCTGAGCTGACACGTAAAGATGCAAGAAGGGCAGAGTTAGAATCACTGCCTGCTCTTCCCTGTCACAGGCTCTGATTGGCTCAAAGCCAGGTTAAGGATATACTCTGTATTCTGCACACACCTATAACTTAAGTCACAGCTGTTTTACACAGTAGTTGGAGACCAGAATAAGGTTCATGAGGAAGCCAAAAGGAATCAAGACACAGGACAGATTAGACTCAATAAATTTACAATTTTAAAACTTTTGTTCCTGGCTTTTCTAATTTCCCCTTTGTGTTTTTGGATTTAACTAAATGCAATTCTTACTGTACTGTGAAGTGATGGTGGTAAATGTCTTCTCTCTTTACCATGCAGTCTTGCTGTCTCCTCACAGTCACCCCCTAGTGTTCAATCCTGTCCTAGCCAGATGTCTAGGCACAACATGCTGTACCTGTAACACCTAACATGGATCTGTCTGCACTAATGAACCTTTTAGTTAACAGTAGGAATGGCTGTGCTGAACTTGATTAACTTGATGAGGGAGTTAATTAGCTTATTGAATAATTAGGAGCTAATGTTCTGCCTTTGTTAAATCCTGTTGGATTTGAGTTGCTTTGGACTGCAGCAGTGACGTCCCAGCTCATAGTGGACCAAGTAGTTGTATCCACTTTACTATTTATTGATATACTATTAACCAAACATTAAATAGGCCTGTAAAATCAATTGAATTGTAATCCCGTTCACAATTTTGGCCTTTCCACAATCAAAGAAACATTATTTATGGCTATTATTTACATATATTCATGTTGCTATCTGGCAGAAGTCATAGATTGGCTTTTTATTCTTGTACAAATTGTGTTTTTATCATCTAATTTTTTGATGCTAGTAGATTTGAACTTTATGAGGATTTTGAGCGGTCAGAAATCTGGATCTTTTTTTTTAAAGAACGAAAGTTGAATAAGATACCTGCTGAACCAGGACCCTCTCAAGCCTAAATTCCAGCAGATGCCTGTTCAGTCCGTCTCCGCTCGGTTACTACAGCGGTGCTGATAGGTTTTCACTTTAGTCAATGAGTGTGCTTTCACTGGCTTCGCTGCACTGCGTCTTAGCTTCGTCTCAGCTCCCGCAGTCCGGAGCCCTCTGCACAGACAGTAAGGCTTCTATTTTTGCCAGATGCCGGAGCACGGCGCATCAATTTACCATAGTAAAGATCGAGCCGGACGGGAAGTCAGAATCCGAAACAAAATAAAAACAGCCAGTTTATTTTAGGAATAAAACACTCCGTTTTGACGGTTCAGACCAACGACCATATGTGTTTGTTTGTGTTTTAAAATGGTTTTTATACGGTTTTATACCACATACATCTTTTTACTCTTCTGACTAAGTGTTTTTACACTGCAGGTTAAATTCACCCATTCGCACACTGATGGGCTTCTATGTAAGGTGTCCATCAGTATCAACTTATCCCACTGAGATAGGTGTCTTGCCCAAGGACACTTAGGCTGCTTGTGCTGGGGATTGAACCCCTGACCAGCCGATTGAGAGTCCACTGACTCTACCACTGATCCGCAGCAGCCACTGTGACCACGGCTCGTCTGGTCAAAGTTGAGCAGGTCAGAGTCAGACTGTACCTTAAAATGCTCTGTTAGACTTGCAGCAGCTTCTCTGGATGGCAACATGGTTAGCCCAGCTACTCTTGGTCCTGAATAAAGGATCATAAATGCATGGTGCTGTATTTAATTGTTTGAGGAAGCATTGCTGTGCATCATGTCTCCTTTCATTTATCAACCCTGCGGCTGCCTTACACTTCATTGTGGCTGCAAACTGGTCTGTAGTCAAAGGCCTAATTAGTAGGGCCTTGTCTTTTTTTTTTCCAGACCTAGACTGAACAGTTTCATTAACAAAGCCATATGTATAAGATCTGGTTTTGAAGCCTCTGTTGTTCTTGTTTGTTAGAAATAAACAAAGTCCAAGTATATTGTTAGTAAAATGGCATGTGTTTAATTAAGTGTGAGAAGTGAAGGAATGGTTTAACAAAAGCTCTAGGTGAAGGTGTTAAAACATGATTATCAGGCCTTATGTTTGAATGGTATCTATGTATGTTGTTTTGTTGTAGACTTGGAGAGGAGGGCCTCCTCTCATGTAAAGTAACTTGTCAATTGAAATGTACAATAATAAAAATCATATTGATAATTTACCAAGCAGCATTGTGTAAACCAAGCAGTGTTTTACCCCTTTACACACTGCCTACAGTATTGTCATTCAGTGCACAAATTACTGTTGTTTTAAGACTTGTTGACATATTCAAGTTTATCTCTGTGTATGAGAGTAGCAGCTGGTTGTAGACTCTATGCACCGGTGGGTGCTGGCCATATTCTCATTTTCAGTCCCTGCTAGCTCTAAGCTTTCATTTCCCTAATGGTGACTTAGTGGAGACTCTCACGGAGGTACAGGCAAACAATAAGAGCAGTGGTTATTAGCTAATACGGTCCCTTTGATAGGGAACTAATGGCGTGTTCAGACACAGACACCTGTGCCTCTAAAGCCAGCCTACCTCTACACACACACACACGCATGCACATACGCACATTTTTTCCACTTGCTTTCTTTTTACCAGCTCTCCTTCTTCCCTCCCCTTCCTCTACTCCCTCCCCTCCTCTTCTTCTCCCCTCCCTCATCTATTCTAAAAGGAAGCCACACCCCTCAAACAGAGCTGCCAGGCTTGTTTGCATATTAACCGTTTAGTTGCCAAGTGGCCATATGCCATGTGACTGTTAGAGCATGTGTTGACTTTTATTGTCTTTCTTTTCCTTCTTTGCTCTTTATTGGTATACAAGTAAGCCCATGCAATGAGAATTGTTTTATTGGCAACATATGGTAAATAACTTGCGCTGTGTTTTAATCCAATACTATGATAAATGTGAAGAATTTTATTTGGATTGTATATTCTTTATGCTTCTTAAGCTTAGTTTCTTCCCACCTTAACAGTGGAAATTCCACATAGTTCTGTTGTGATTTCAAAGGTTACTTAATCAGGTACACCTAAAAATGATCCAGTTGTTCTCAATTATACTGTTAATAGAATATCCATTTGTGTACCCTGGTTGCGTTATCTTCCTGTAGATTTGTTTACCTTGGAGAGGACGCTGCTGTTGAGCTCCCAGTAAGCATGTGGTTTGCTTTAAAGTCCAAACTCCAAGGCCATGCCTTGCCTTGCCTGGCAGGTGGATCCAATGCCTGTGATCAAATGGAAGTGTCTGTCTCTGTGAGAGATATAAAGCTGTAAAATGTAAAACTACACAACCTCAGTGTGATGGTGAGAAAACTTTCTCAGCAAAGATTATACCTGTGTGTTTGTGTTGATCTCTCTCTCCTCTACTGTTGCACACAAGCAGTTAATGCATACACATTAAAAATGAGGCTATTCACACCAGTTGGTTAGTTTCTTAAAACTTTATTAAGGTTATCTGTGCAGCATGAAATTTATAGCCATATTGTGTTGTGGCCTACACAGCTCACCCACATAATTCACACCAGTGAGATTTACTTGGGCTGAGAGGGAATGAAACAATATGATACATTACACACACAAAAATATACAAAAAAAACATGCGTTCCTTTGTGGATGTTATGCCCTTATCATAAAATCAGGAAATGGAACATTTCAAATGTATCAAAACATAAAATGTTCAAGATTTGTTTAGCTTTGAAAGATTTTAGATATGTGTTGTGTTGCATTGAATGACCAGTTTCACTTGTCAGAAGCAATGTATTGACATATATATTTTAAAACTAGTGTGGTAATCACTCATCCCAATTATTAAGAAAACATATTTGTGGCGTTGCACAGACTTGTTGACTAGTCCACTAGTCAACTTTACAGCTGTGTGATGAGGCTTCGTCAGATGTCAAATAATCATTTATCAGGATAGACAATCTAAAACTGTGACTGAGCAGGACTATGACAGTATGTAGGCAAACACGCTATGGTTACCTGAGTTTCTTTCTTTCCCAAGTGTGACTTTTTTTCTTTGCACTCACTTATTTGGGAGTTGTGGAACAGGTGTTATTGTTGAATACTTTGTTGCAGCTGTTGCAGCCTGCTGTTTTTTTACATGTTAACTGTCTGCTTTCAGCAGAATATACATATTTTTGTTGGTTGCAAAGCATTCCCTTCTCCCATGGTTTTATTGATAATTTCATCAGCGACTAGTTGACATCGACTTGACTATTACCACATGAATGTCAACTTAAAAGAATCTGAAGTCGTGCAACCCCCAGTTTTTTTTATAATTTCAAGACAGGGCGTCAAAAGCACACCCCTTCCTAGCTTCTTTGTATGTGTCTGGCAGTCCTGATTCCCCTGGACAGCTCACATATTAAAATGTGTGCAGCTGCATGTTAAGTAAACAGTATGCTGACTGTTATAGAAGCCTGTCTCATTTTGCAGAGTAGAAGATTTCAAAGCTGATGGGGCTCAGGCCTGACCCAGTAGTGTTGTGCTCTGTACCTGGCTCCAGGCCAGCCCTGTGTCTCTGCATACTCCCAATACCATGTGCCAGCCGGTGCACATGGCCCTTGCATCATGGTGTCAGTAGTCCCCTGAGAAGCTGGCTCACTCCTCCAAGATCTCTTCTGGGACACAGGAGCGCTGCATGTCCTGGAAACTTCCTAGTTTCTCCTTGACGTTTTTTTTTTTTTTTTCCCCCCACAGTGCTAACAGGGTGACGAGGCTTTGACCTCTTGAGGGCTTGAATCCAGTTGTTAGACTCTGGACACTGTGTCTGGTAGAGTAAAGGAGAAGAAAGTCTGATGTATACTATGTTTCTAATTTCTTTCTATCTGCAACTCTGTGTGCTGAATGTATCAGGATACCTATGGGAACTAGTTAATCAATTGTTTCAGCTAGCCTTTCTGCATGATGCTGTTCCATAAATAAATCATAAACTCATTGGCAGTGACCTTCATGGGTACAAAAAAGCGTCAGTGTTGACAATCTGTGGTGTGAGAGAAATCCAGTACTTTGGGGGTTAAGTTGTGAAAGTTAATGTAATAACTGCTAGCACCATCTGCTGGCCTACTTCCCTACAAAGAGAGAGAGAGTCAGAGAGTGAGCGAGCGAGCAAGAGAGAGAGAGTGAGAAACGAGTCTGGGTTTTAACGACATCTCTAATATTCATGCTGATGCATTTTGCTGCTTTGTGCTTTCATTTTCCGCCGCTCTGCCTGCCAGAGTCTCGAGCTCGCCATACACGCCCCAGCCAGGGAGAGGGGAGGGCAGCGAGGGAGAAGTGGGAAAAAGGAGGAAAAAACAACCAGCCAAACAAGCGAGCAAGCTAACACAAAAGCCTTTTTGTGTGTAATAAATGGAGGAACCTACCTTATCCTGGCTGGTGGAGAAGACGAGGTGAGGCGCGAAAGGGGAAACGGCAGAGCAAGAAAGAGTGAGAAATACAAGGAAACGGCTCAGAGAAAACAGAGAGCCCACACGAAAGGCAGGCGGAAAGAGGAATCAATGAGAGGGGAGGAGAGAGGAGGCAGGGGAAGGCAACTCTGACACACACACACACGCTGAGAAAAGAGTGAGGGAGACTTGGATGAAGCCGGACGACGGCGAAGCAGCACGCAGCAGCAGAATGAGAGCTTCCTGGACTGCCACGCACCTCCTCTACCGCCCACAGCGTTGCTCCCTCATCACCCTGTGAAGAGACAAACGAGGGCGAGAGAGAGAGAGAGCTCCCATGCGCTCCTCTTGAGCCCTGCCCGCTGGGGGAGGAGGAGACGCACAGCTCCGGCGCTCTCGCACTGCCCGAGGAGAGAAGCTGACCGGGGAGGAGGAGGGGAGGCAAACCAGGAGTGAGGGAGGGGAGGGGGGGACAGCCACAGTTCTAGGAAGAGTGAGAGAAAACGACTGTTGATACAGGAAAAAGAGTGCTTTTGAGAGGAAAGCTTGAGCAAGCAACAGAAAGAGGAGAAAAAAAACCCGGCGACAGGGCAAGGCTTTTGTTAGCCGGTTGGAGAGGGGGGAGGAAAGAGGAAGAAAAAAAACACCATGTCTACAGTGAAGAGGCCAAGAGGAAGGGTAAGTGAGCTGTGCTGAGAGCTGGGAGGGAGGAGGGACAAGGGGGAGGAGGAGGAGGGGCCGGCAGGAACTGAACAACCTTCTTTGCTACTGGCTCATGCTGCACTGCCGCCATCTTGAACTCATTGCTGCTTTATTTTCCTCCCCTCCATACTCATTTGCTCTGCTGTGTTAGACCTTATCAAGGCACACTTTCTCAACCCCACCCCCACTGTCTGTTCATTCCATACATCCCATTCCTGTACTCTTTTGGATTCCTGTCCCCAAGCTGCTCTGCACTCTAGTTTACATAGTGAATGGTGTGTGTGCCTGCGCGTCTGTGTGTCCTCCATGAGTTGAACCTGTCAGTCACCAGAGAGCTCACTACATGTGGAAATTAAGGGTTGAGAGCGAGGGAAAGCTGGCCAGCCCAAATGAAGCTTACTTTACCTTTTCATGTGCTGTAATGGTCCCCACCGTTTCCATGGGACTACGTGCTGCTAGAGAGATTGAAATCACTGCAGTGCTGGCAGGCTGTAATTTCAGTTATTTATAGATGTATTACACAGCTGCAGTGCTCTCAGATTTGGTGCATTTTATCTTTTCTCTCTCCCCCCCCCCCTCCCCTCTCTCTCTGTGATAGGAGCCTACTTTCATATTTTTTTCTTTCTCTTGCTTCTTCTTTCATGTGCCCTCATGTTCTTCCTCTGTTAAGCTTTACTTTCAATCCCTCCCCCTGTCTTTTTTTTCAACCTTTTTACTTGAATGAGAACATTCCAGCAATGTCTTCTTAATAACCTCAGCACTGTTGCACACGTGAAAATCATAATGCAGGGCTTGTGTGAGTATGTGTGTGAGGTTCTTTTTTTTTTTTTTTACCCGTTCCTTCCAAATGATTTCGCTACTTAGTCAAGTCCTTCCCCCACCGTGTTGGTGAGGTTCAAACTCATTCTTTATACTTAACTAGCAGTGTGGAAAAAAAAAAAAGCAGCCAACTGTGCCTGGGCCATAGGCATACGCAACACATTTTTAGATTAGGTCATCCATTTATGGGTTCCCTTGCTGCTGGGCTCAAGGCCCATCTCAAGGCGCTTGTGTAGGCATAACTGTAGTCACACCATCTATTATTCACATATTATCATGTATCAGCCTGGCTGGATTATTTATGTCTGCAATGCTCACTGAAACCTGCTACACCTAGTTGGTGTTTCCCCTACCTTTTTAAACAGCTCACATCAAAAATAATTTCAGTTGTTTCACGCTCGCTGAGTGTTCATGTCACATGGTGTCAGTGTCAGAGTTTCCGAGTCCTCTTGACCTGATCTACATTAATTATTGTCTGGAAAGAGTGAGATTTCTCATACAGAAAGTCTGCTTGTAGTGTTATATGGAAGGCATTAGGTGTGAAGTGAGCATCATGTGGGGCCACCCCCCACCCCCATCATCAGGGACAGGGACTGCAACAAGCTCTGCTGTCTGAGACATTGACACGGCCAGGAGTAGTATGTTTTTTTTCTGAATGAGTGAGGTTGTAGTGGTCACATCAACACAGTATACTTTCATACTTCATACAGTATACTTTCAGTTCATGTTTGAATGTATTCACTCACATTTAAGCAGAGCTGTATGGCTTGTTAATGAACTCATGTTCATAGCTGTCATGTATATACCACCTCTTCATGCTCCAAGCGTCGATGCAAGCCAATGGTTTAACATGGGTATCAGCCAATATCGGCCCTGTTGCCAATTCACAAATAATGTGGTATTCGATGTATCTTCCCGACCAATCAATGTAATGCTGGCAAGCTAGTATACCTAACTGCTTAGTTTTTTATTTGGCAGAAGAAGTCACCTGTTGGACAAACAAAATGTAGTTATTATGTTCAAACATGAAAGAAAATGTCAGCAGCGTCGGAGTCTTATATCGTCTCTAAGAAAGATCAGGAAGAAGTAAGAGATGTTCAAGGAACATTTCAAGTGGAGGGACTACTAACAACAATTTAAATACATCAAATCTCATAGCTCATTTAAAGAAAAATGCAAAAGGAATTGCAAAGAAGCAATGCAAATTAGTATCAGTTTCAGACCTTGTTTTCACACTTGACTCTAGTTTGAATAAACTCAACTGTAGTAAACTTTTAAGGGGTCAGTCTCAATATTTTAACGTATATGTTGTTTCTTTGTGAGACGCTGCTGTGGTTTGTTTTTCATACACTACAAGCTTCAGTCACTCGGCTCTGATTTAAAGGGCAAGTGTCCGTTTTCTAGGTCTGTGTGTTAATAGGTCCTTCTACAGCAAGTATAGCCCTGCAGCTCATTTTGGATTGTGTTATCTACAAGAGAAGACATAATGTCTGTAGTTTTAATTAGATCATTGCATGAAATAGTATGATTGTTCTCAATACTAATTCTCTTTATCTTTCTCTCTATTCTCCTAGCCTCGAAAGAATGCTAATGGTCCCAGTAGCCAGGTACGGGTCCTAAGTCCCCCAATGAAGAGCAGCTCATCGTCCTCCTCTTCCTCATCATCTTCATCCTCATCCAGCTCCCCAGCAGAGAAGAGATCGCAGCGGAGGACGCATCATCAGATGGAGCCAAATATACAGGACAAGCAGGAGAAGGCTAATAGAATTATATCAGAGGCTATTGCTAAGGCCCGGCAGCGTGGGGAGAAGAACATCCCCAGAGTTATGAGTCCTGAGAGCTTCCCCAGCTCTTCTTCGCAGCACAAGAGCCACCGTGACCGCAAGCACAAAGGAAATGGCAAAGCACGGCCAAAAGAGAAGGCCTGTAGGAAGGTCTGCATTTTACCCTCATCCAAGCCCAAGCAGAAAGCCAAGATCGGGTATGTAACCACAGTTGTTAATACTGTAAAGCTCTGAAATGCTTATTTAAAACAAATAAATACAATGAGTGGAGCTTTCATCAGGTCCTGTCCTGCCTAAAGCACTGTGGAATTTATTTGAACACAACCAGAGCCCAACCACTGTGGTGTTTAATGAGCCTGAATAAAAAAAGTGACATATGCCACTGCAGTGGGTAAACCCCTGTCATTGTGCTCGCATACCTGAGATTCATCTCATCTCACCGAGATTTACAGCACATTCAACCCAGAGGTATAGAGCTGCACTAAACTTTCATTTCTGAACCTGTAAATCTATTACTTAAACATATTTATTTCTATTTTTGTCAATGGAATAGCAAATACAAATCATGGAAGACACATAAAGACAACACAATTCAAGTCTTTATTTTACATTATTTTGAATTGAGCAAAGCAGTTGCATCTTTTGTCTAAACATAAAATAAGAAACATACATTTAGTTTCGTTCCCTGCAGATTTTTCTTTATATAAGATCAAAAACAAATTATCTGAGGGTGTCGTCATTTCATCTGCACCCATTACTTTAGTTTCTACTAATAACCAGGGCAAACTGTTAAATTACTAATATTACACTACACAGTGCATACATGTCATTATCTGTGGTTAGGTTTCTAACACCTGACACATGTACAGTTCTTGCCTTTTTACTGTTGTAAGCTGCTTGCGTTCTGGTTGATTTTGCGGATACATTATTTACTGAGTGTACATTGTGGCTGTCAAGCTGGAAGCTCAAAGTTCGACAGGATTTACTGCCCGCAATAACAATAAAGCAGGCTCAGTCATCAGCATGGACATGGGAGGAGCAAACAAAGGCTGCATTTACGTGAAGTGAGACACTGCTGCTGAGTATATTCATGCAAGTAGTGCTGATGTATAGATACCGTGATCCGCCTCCCATCCCCCTGTTTAAACTGCTATAAGCAGTGTTTAGCTACAGTATAAGCCACACCCAACAGACGCTATTGAAATATCAGCTGGTGCAAATGTGAGGGCTGAGGCAGGGATCTGAAGAAAAAAGTGGGAATGTTAAGATAGGGTAATGTGAAAATGTTCTGCCGAATAAATCTATCAATTTTTCCCATATTTGAAAAGGCCTGTTTAATTTATTTTTGTAAAGATGAAGCATGAGACGGAGTAACAATGGTCAACAATTATATCTATCTGGCAGCTGTGTTAATTAATAATTAGATGGGTTAGGCAGAGGAAGATGAGCTGTAGCAGATAATGGATTTGGCTTGTAGTCTGTGGGTGTGTGTGGAAGTGATGAATGAAAACTTGAGGCCATGATGGTGTTTAAGAGAATACTGATATGAGGCTGGAGTTGGTCAACGTGATATAGTCCCTGAAGCTAACTTGCACTGTGATGCTGACAGTGACTCAGGCCTCTACGTTCGGATGGTCTTGTGGCACCACTGAACATGCTTGTTTAAGATTTTAAAAATGTTGAGACATGATTCATCGTTATATCAAGATGTTTAAGTCTTTCTTTCTTCTCAACCACTGGGCAGTGGTGGAGACACAGCTGATTTATATATCTGCAGTTAATCAAATACACACTTGTTAGTCATGAACAGCAGCTGACAATTATGAGTTTTGCCATTTAAATCTTTATTCAATGATAACGGTCATTGTTGTTACAAAGTAATGTGCTGTGTAACCCATATTTATTCACTGTAACCATATTTGGCCTACGTACTGAAAAACCTTCCGTATTGTCTCAGTTAACCTTTTATAGCCTTCATTGCATCATGCATTCCAGCCGTTTTGAAACATTTTAAGTCATTCACTCTAGTCATGAAAGAGAGTCCTGCTAAATCTAACCAAAGGATTACATTTTAAGGGGCCTTGAACTTTATAATTTATTCATTTGATTTATTTTTGGATGTATTTTTCTCAGCCTGTGGGGTTGGTATAACTGCTTATATGCTGTTTTTTTTTAATTAATAATTGCAAGTAATGTGTATTAGATACATTTGAACACTATGTTCTTTTAAGTGTATTGATTCTTTTTACATTGTTAGAGCTGTAGACAATTCTCCTTAAAATGTCAAGGAGTACTGTTATTTATAACGGGTCTACAATATAGTAAGTTGGCGAAAGGCCACTTTACAAGCCTTTGTAAGCATAACTACTTGCCCCCTTTTTTCCATGGTGAATATTATACGATCAAAGGAAGGTTGCAGTCTGCAGAAAACAGGAGGGTCATCATTGATATCACAGTGTGTAGATGATCTCGTCTGATCCACTGTTCAGTCAAGGTTTGTGACAACTGTGAAAATCAGACAGGCTTACATTTCACACATTCTAGATGTGAACCTGTTGTTTTTCCTACATATTGAAACCTGAGTGCTGTGATGCTGTAACTAACACTTTAGTGGTCATGGAGGATCTGTGTTAGAGGATGTGGCCGTATAGTGATCAGACTCTCTGGGGCCCTCTGTTTGTTTTTAAATTAAGAAAAGAAGTTCAGATTTTCCGGCCATTGGTGAAATGTGGCAGTGATGTATATCTCTGTCTGTATATATGACAAGAAGTTTGTGGGAGTGTGTGAATATTTCATAAGATGAGATGAGATGTGAAGATTCATAGCTGACAAATACTTGTACAAACAGAGCTTCTTTTCAATCAGAAACTATAAACAACAGACAGTTGTGTTACAATAAGGCTCGAGGCCTTACCGTAATAATCAACAAAATATGACTCTTTATGATCATGTTTTTGAACAAGTACTTTTGTCATTTTCCTTGCATGACACTTGGAGTTATATAGGCGTGTCTTGGCATAGAATCCTGAGAAGTCAGAGCCAGTCACAGTCTAATGGCACTGTAATGTAAACATGAGGACTCAAACATAAATACTACGGTTTTTAAAATCGCCACATTGTTCTCCCTTTTTCAACACTTTAAGTAAACAAAGTCTGCAGATGTATCATTTTAAACATTAAAATGACTTATCCATTTATAAATGAAAATGTAGTAAATGGATAAAAATAATAATACCTGTTTGCAAAAGAGGCCGGAAACTTTTTAGACACACACCCTAATTTACTACATCTTACTGTGGTTGTGGTGTGATTCCACACAAGACTGACAGGAGGAAGCTTTGACAGCTAGCTGAACAATTTTTAAGGCTGTGTAAAAAAAAATACATTGTTGCTTTAAGTTGCTCCAGTCAAAAGGAAACATATACTGTTGTGAATTTGGGACAATGGGTAAGACAGTTGTGCATTTTAAATTGAATGTCCTAAAAAAGTTTTGCAGATGTTCCTACGTCAAAGCTGTGAGTATAATGCCACATCTTTAATCTCCATATAATTATTATTATTATTATTATTAATTTTTTTATTGGTGATAAGGTGAACAAAATGAATCAAGAATATATAGACATGACATAGACTTGACAACTAAAGCGAGAACAAAGAAACAAACAAAGACAAAAAATAAAAATAGATACAAAATAGCAAAACATAAGCAACAATACAGACAAAATACATTTAAATGAGATGAAAGTCAAGCAATGATTTTTATGTTCAGGTAGTGTGTTAGAAAGGTGTGAAATGTGTTTGTGGCAGCGTAATGCATTAAAGTGCAGAACTTAATGGGGAGTAGCGAGGGAAAAAAAAAATATATATATAAATGAAAAATAGTTAGAGAAAAAAAAAACATATCCTCAGTATTAGACAACACTGGCATGTGCACTTTACCCATGACGCAATAATATCAATATCTTCAGTTCAGATGTCTCGAATCGAGACAAAGCTATGTAAGTGATGGATAGAGCAGGGAGTGCTTATATTCATTTGGGGTTGGCTTGACTGTAATTGAACACTCTGAACTACCACATACAATTAGAAATGGTGTGTCTGTGTGTCAGCATAGATTTTAGTAAAGTATTGCTTCGAGGTTGCTAAAGTGAGGTGATGAAGACAGCCTGCGTGTATGATAACAAAAGAGCCCTCAGGACAGACGTGTACTGCAGGAGAGCCCTGTTCATATGCATGCACCACCCAGGATCTCCCCATACAATATTAATGCAGCTCAGCTGCAGAGGTACTAACCTTCTGCTAGAGTCATTATTTCACTCTGTTGAGTGTGTGTACTGGCTCTGTATTCAGGAAGCTAGACATTGTGTGTGTGTGTGTGTGTGTGTGTGTGTGTGTGTGTGTGTGTGTATGTTGACTGTATGCTCAGTCTTCCTTTACATCTGACCCTTCTTTAAGCAGGGAATGGGGCCTGAGATACGACTTTTATCCTAATTGTCTCTGTACTTAAGGTTCTGCTTCTGTGAGACCACCATGCTGTCGTTACTACCTGGGTTTATACTCGAAGCATCAGCTCCATTTAATTGCTAGTAATTGCCTTCTGGATTACTTTGCTGGGTTACTCTGCCAACCGCCTGCCAAGCAAGTTAGGGGTCATATCATCATATGGAAAAACTGTCTGACTGATGAAACATCAATGGAAGCAGCTGATTAAAATATGGATGCAGCAGCCGCTTTGACAGCTGGACTGGCAACATGACACGTAGCCAAGAAAAGATCACTGACAAAAAAAACAACAACTACCATTTCCCTTTACTATGATATTAAAGTGCTTCTGATCTGAGCTCAACTACTTAACAAATTCCTATTTCTCTAGTCCCAAGTGATGTTTCAGTTTGCTAAAATAAATGTAGTACATTAAAGCCAGCTGTGAACATGTAGAAACAGCTTGAATGTGAATTTCACTTGATTCAATTCTTAATCAAGAAATTAACTGTGGTGCTGAACCTTTATCAAAGCTTACACAGACTTTTAGTTCCAAAAGACTTCAGGAAGAATGAAACACATCGACAGGGATTGAGAATAACCCCGGAGAATCCCTTGAAAATGATATGTTGATGAATAATCAACATGCCCCCCTTCTGAAATTTGTCACCATGTCATTTAAAAGATTTGTTTAAAAATTACATTCACAATAGAT